GGGGGGGGGGCAGATGGGGCTTTTGACAAAATATCAAGAAAGTCCACCACCAGAACGCAGCCTCATTGGAAACAACAACAACAACAAGTCACTTTCTGGAAATCTAGGCAGAAAATTGGCAGAAAGGACTCTGTAGGTGTGTCCCTGTTACATGACAGATAAAGCCATCCCGGGGCAGCGGAGGGGAGAAAGTAGGAGCCAAAAGCATTAGATTAAATTATTGTTGAAGTTGGGTGACACCGTCCACTTCAGCTCAGAGTAGCCTGTGTGATCGAGTGGAACTGTGCCACGGGGCTTTCCAGGGCCTGCTCTGTACTGATACAGATCACCCAGTCTTTCACCCGGGGTGGTGCTGGGTAGGTGCAAACTACCAACCTTTCCATGCTTAACTGTTACACCACCAGGTCTCCTAACTCCTTCCAATGTGCGTATCCCTTTGCAGATCCCAAGTGAGACCAAAGAAGTGGCCACTCCTCCCATTAAGAAGTGGAGCTTCTTTGACAGTAATTGTTGTAGCAACTGCACAATACTACTTGATGTGATTGAACTAGGGAATGATATGCTATCTGCATTCACTCTCAATAAAATGTTTTTTTTTAAAGAATTTTATAATCATAATTTCTTTACAAGTTAGAGATGGAGCTTCTTTCTTCATTTGTTTGAATCCAGACTGGCCCTGTGGCTTGCTTTCACCAACAGACTGTGATAGAAGTGATGTCCTACAATCTCAGGAGCTAGTAAGCTAGGAGCCCTGGTGGGGTGGTGGTTGTGTGGTGGGCTGCTGACCACAAGGTCAGTGGTTTGAAACCACCAGCCCCTCTTAGATGGTGGTTTCTGCATCCATAATGAGCTTCAGTCTCCGAAACGCACAAGGACAGCTCTGCCCTGTCCTAGAAGGTTGCCAGGAGTGGGAATTGACTCTGTGACAGTGAGGTTGTTTTAGTTTAGCCTTTACGAGGCTTGCAGCCCATGAGTCAATGCTGCTCCAAATTACCCCCTGGGAACTCTGGGATTCCAGTACAAACCACTAGGACAAGAGGCCACATGAGGACAAACCAAAGGACCCCATGCAAAGCTAGCACCAACTTCCAGACTTGTGATTGTCTGTCTTGGACTCTCTGGCCCAGTTCAATCATGAAATGACTGTAGCTACTTGAGAGATCCTAGGTAGGACCAACAAAGCAGCGGCTGGGCTGACTCGCCGAAGTGGACAAAATCACCAGAAGTTGGAAGTCAGGAAGTTTGGGGGTAAGCTACTCTGCAACGATAGATGCTTTAACAGTAGCAGAAGGGGAGGTCTGTCTGTCTTCAATGCCTCACCTGAAGTTGCTCGGCGCTTAGTTTCCCATCAGTTCAAAGTACCACCACCCTACCCTCGCCACTCTCCCTCCTAATGGTCCTGGGTATTTTTCATGAGGAAGTATCACTCCATGGGTTCCTGTTGATCTTTGTGAGACAATGATTCACCTTGGCAGTGGCTACTTCCCAAGAGGTCAGAGGGGGTGGGGTTGTGAGCTAGAGATCACACACACACACACACACAAACTAAGGAAATGAAGAAGAAATATTTTGTGAAGGAAAACAAAAAACACGTGCTAGTGCTAGAAAGTATTCAGTCCATGTTCCTGCCCTGGCCTCTGTCATCAGCGCGTCACCCAGCAGGCACTGGGAAAGCACTACGATCCCTAGGTCCCATGTCCCTTACACATAGACTCTCCTTCATGATGGGGCCGTTGCATCTATGGGTATGTGGACAGAATGAAGAGAGTGTGAATTTCTTACCTCACCTGTTCCTCGGCACTAAATCTTTCCTGCTTTCTCTTAGTCGCCCCTACTGTATCCATTTAACAATAGTGTTGACCCCCTACTACGTGGCAGGTCCTGTGCTAGGATGCTGCAGCTAGATGAGAATGCAACAATCTTACCCCCGGGGATCTCCATCTAGTGGGGCAGGAGGGGCGGCAGTAGCCAATTACTCAACAACATAAAGAGCAGAAACAAGACCCCAAGGTGTAGACTTCTCGCTTAGGCGAACTTCACATTGGTTCTTTGTCTCTCGTAAACATCCTGCAGGCCCTGGGAATGATGGGACGTGATATGGTGCTATTCCCTGCACCATTTCATTCCCAAATCCGTAAGTTTGTCCAGCCCCATCACCCAAGCATCCCATCGCTGACAGCGATAGCTGGGCTCGCATTGTTTATTCCATTCGCTTCCTGAGTGCTCCCCAGAGGCACACACACTCTTGGTCTAAGATTCCCTCAAAGTCTCCATTTCCCAGGAAAAGGAAGCCTTGTCAATTTCCAGTTTTCCTTATGTCAATGAATGAGATTTTATCTGTTAATATCTCACCCATTTTCACCAGATCAATAATTCACGACATGAGATGTTCGAGCTGGAAAGCTCATCCAACCATCTCATGGGAAACTGAGGTCCAGGGCTGTGGAAATTTATCCAAATCAGAGACACGATGGAACCAGGAGTCAGGTCCCAGAACCCATCCCCCTAATTACCCCCAATTCCTCCCTCCTAAGACAAAGGTCACGAAAGCACTTGGAACAGAGCCCAGTCGCCTGGCCCCCGGTCCAGTGGTCTCTTCATTGTACCAGGTGCACCTTGAATCGTCTCAAAAAGAGCCAGGATGCAGGTAAAGACTCCAGGATAACCCAGCCCCATGACAGAGTAGCGCTATTCAAAGACATTAATGTCAACAAAACCATGCCCAAGAGAGCTCTGGAGAGATTCAGAAGGGAAATCTCAGCTACTCAACCATGTGGTTAGGGAGACGCTCAGGCCTGAGTGACATTTCCCACAGTTGGATGGCTTCCTCAACAGGATGCTTTCAATCACCAGGCCCAAGAACCAAGATGCCCTTGGCAAAGAGTTCCCTGTCACTCCCAAGAACTGCATGTCTCCTGGACAAATGGTCTTCCATCTTCAGAGGCGTGGACTGTTTGACTGCTGTGTCTGCTTGGGAGCGTAGACAGAATTTCCAGCCAACCCCAATAAAGTGACCTTTGGCATCTTTTATTAATATTACGTTTCCTCTAGACTTCAACTTTGCTTTCCTACCCTTGTCTCTCATCCCCGCCCTCTAGTTTCCTCTCCTATTTTGGGGGGCAGGAGGTATGGTGTCACCTCAACTATCCGGTATAAGATGACAAAAGAAATGAATGGATGAATCAGTAAACAAACAAGCTGGTGTTTAGAGCAAATAGCACACAATGCTCCGAGAGAGAGATTATTTATGCCGAGTGTCTCATTCAATTCAAGAACGGAAAGACCGATAAAACTGGGGGTAATGGGGAAGGTTTCCGAGATGTGAGGATGAAGCAGGACTTGGCAGTGTTTCTTTCTGTTATACGTACGATCCTTAGGAGTCAGAACCCAGTGGACAGTCCCTAACAACAACCACAGGACTCCCATGGTCTGGAAGCACGGCATGGTTGAACCTACTGCATATGTGGTACAGCACAAGGCAGACTGACCCAGACAGCCCCAGCTGAAAGCAGCCATAAACTGCTGCATGGCGGTACTCAGGTATATCAGCTACCATCTTCTGTGGCCAGCAGGTAGGACCTTTGATCTAACCCTGGAAGCCTGTGTCCCCCCCGAGCTGCTGGAGCCTTGCTTTCTCCACGTCTCAAATGCATGCATGATCGGACATGGTCTAGCTTCCAGTACACCATAATCTCTCTGAGAGAAGTGGGGAGTGCCACCTTGCTCACGTCAAGGGCATGCTTTAGAAGAGTCCCTCACCCACAGGAAATTTTATGCAGAGCCTCTAGTTATGATCCCAGCCAGGCTCTAATAACTCTCCTTTTCCAGTTTGCTGCTTGTGACATTAGGGCATGATGGAACACTGGCTTCACAATGGGGTTCAATCTTATTAGCAGGAGCCTGATTAGATGATATTTCACTGCAACCCCGAGGCCGCTGTATGTCAAGGACAGACACACCAGCCCTGCTAGAAGCATGCAGGGACCCACTCTCCGCAAACCGCCAGGACTCCAACCCACGCCTGCGGCGGGCACAGTAAAACACAGAGGAGGCATAGCCATAGGTTCCGACCTTGAGAAGGTGTTCCGGGCGTAGTGCATGATGCTGTCAAAGTCGTACATCTCTCCCAGAGAGCTCACTTCCCCAGCTTCCATTTTTAAGAAATTATACTCCTGACCTGTGACATAACACTCTGTTAAGGCCTTGAAAACCAAGACGGGCACCTGAAAGGAGGCAGAGGAGCGAGAAGGAGGGCCCATAGCAACTTGTGGGATCTCGATGAACCCCACAGGGCAAATAACAGGACGTGTGGTTGCTCTACGAAAGGAACTGTGTTCTCCCAGGCCCCACCCCATCCCCTCCCAGTGAGCCGCCCCAAATCCCACTTGAAATGCTTGAATGGTTTGCAGACATATTGGATATTGATCAACCTGTCCCCCCACCATCGCAGGAACAACAAAACCAAGAGTCAAGTTCAATGCCAAATAGCTCACAGTGTAAACTCTCAGAAGCAGAGTTAAGGCAACCCATATTAATCAACCAGCTACCTTCCTGTTCAATATGAACTTAAGTACAACATGATGTACTTATAAATGTGCACATATTTACACATCTAAATGTGTCAACTCTAAGTATGTTTATAATTAATAACTATTTGACATGACAAATTTTTTTCAAATCTAGATCCTTTGTCCATAAGGATACGTGCCATCATTCCGTTTTGGTTCTAAAATGATGTGCTGCCACCGTCTACAACAAAAGGTCCTGTAAAGTCAACGTCATTTTTTCAGGTTTTTTGCCTTATCAGCTTTGAGGTGGCAACTGTGTTCTGGACCGTTCTGTGGCTTTTAGGCAATGGTGTTGCCTCCCATTGTCCTATCCAACACGGAAAGCCATCTTGATCCCACTCTCACCTGCAAGTCATGCCGATGGTCACCCACACAAGGTCATGAGTGTGGCCAGTGGCTGTGCTGATGACCAAAGCAATACAGAAGAATGTTGCCTGGCGGCACCTCTCTGTCACTCCCTGTTGACCTGGTGGATACCGCCTGCCTGGCTTCGAGACTCAGCACAGACCTCCTTACCTGGCTGGATGTTTTCTCTGATGATGGTGACATGTTGGTCTCTGTCCGGCCGGGTGTGTTCATGCCAGAACCCAACCACATGGCCCAGCTCATGAGCCACGATGCCAAACTTGTCGCAGTTTTTCCCAATGGATATGGCCTGCGGGCCCCCTCCGCGGCGTCCAACGTAGGAGCAACAACTGGAAAAGTGCAGAAAGACACAGGTAAACAGGCCAGAGAAGATCAAGAGGCACTGTCTCCCAGGGTACATGTATGTGTGTGTGCACACGTGCAGTGTGGTGTGCACAAGAAACACAGAAGTTCAGAGGTGAATGTGCTCTCTCTCATCTTCTGCGTTCCCACCTGTTCAGAAATTCCCTCCCAAACTGGGAACACAGGGAATCCAGCACGGATGATCCCTCAGGACCAGTGGTGAGAGTGGTGATACCAGGAGGGTGGAGGGAGGGTGGGGTGGAAAGGGGGAAGCGATTACAAGGATCTACATATAACTCCTCCCTGGGGGACGGACAATAGAAAAGTGGGTGAAGGGAGACATCAGACAGCGTAAGATAGGACAAAGTAATAATGTATAAATCATCAAGGTTTCATGAGGGAGGGGGTGTGGGGAGGGAGGGGGGAAAATGAGGAGCTGATGCCAGGGGCTTAAGTGGAAAGCAAATGTCTTGAGAATGATGAGGGCAATGAATGTACAAATGTGTTTTACACAATTGATGTATGTATGGATTGTGATAAGAGTTGTATGCGCCGCTAATAAAACGATTAAAAAAGAAATTCCCTCCAAAAGTAGTCCTCGGCCTTTCTGGTGATCATGGATTCCTTAAACGATCGGAAGAAACAAATGGTCTCTCTTCTCTGAGTCTACTACATACTCTATGCCTCCTTACTTCCCATCCCCAGTCTCTGTTGGCCTCTCTCTGATAATGAGATAGTTAAAGTTTATTGTGCCTACCTGGCCGATAAACACATGTGGGAGTAGTTGAAGGGGGTTGAGCTAAATAGCTCAGTGAGTCTTGCCTTTCTAGTTCTCGGGTCTCTTGCTTTGTGATGGTCCAACCAGGGTGCAGCTGCCTTAGCCAGTTCCCTGCTTCAGCTGGCAAGGCTCACTTCCTACAAGACATCCCCAAGGAGAAGCCACATGGACCTACCCCGATGCAGCCCTGGGTGCTGGAGCAGCTGTGTGGAGACCCCTGCCAGCGCTGAGATGCTTACACGCTCACTGACTAACTCGGCTTTCCTCCTGCAGTCAGCGTCATTGCATGTGTTATGGGCTAATGTTGGACTTATGGGCTTGTATAGCACTAGTTTGGGGTGCTTTCTTAATATACACTAACCCTTTAAATAAAACTCTCTCGTATACACGTGAGTTTCTGTGGATTTGTTTCCCTGGTTTACCCAGACTGACACAGATGACAAGGAGAAGAGATGAGAAAAGGAGGCAGCTTTCGGGGTCATCAGGCACCCTGATGGTGCAATGGCTGAGCTCTTGGCTGCTAGGGCGCTGTGGGAGAGAAGAGCTGGTGCCTATGGTGACTGGTCCAGGGAAGCCTGAGAGGCTGGTCTACCTGTCCTACAAGGTGGATATGAGTCAGAATTGACTTGTTACTTAACCACTAAATCCAGAATGTGATGCTATTATAAGAGACACCTTAGAAATGATGCTGTGAATGTTACGACTTTTTCAAATAATGTTTACTGGGTATTCCCTCGACCAGGTGGGTTGGTACAGTGGCTATAATAATGAGCTCAAACATAATAACTGTGTTGACACTTATGATGGAGGGACACAGTTCAGAACAGCTTACCTAGTGCTGCTATGCTATAGATATCACATGGGAATGGCTTTGAAAAAAACAAAAACAAATTTATTTTCTAGCAGTTTAGGAGGCCAGAAGTCCAAATTCGGGATGTAGGATCTAGAGCAGGGGTTCTCAACCTTCCTAATGCTGTAACCCTTTCATACAGTTCCTCATGTTGTGGTGACCCCCTAACATAAAATTATTTCCGTTGCTACTTCATCACTGTCATTTTGCTACTGTTATAAGTCGGGCGACCCCTGTGAAAGGGTCCTTTGACTCCCCAAAGGGGTCGAGGCCCACAGGTTGAGAACCGCTGCTCTAGAAAGGCTCTGGAGTGAGGTCTCTGTGTCTTTGCGCTGGATGATCTGCACGAGGCTTGGCACCTCTCTTCCCCACCTCTGTCTCTCTCACTTGCTCGTTTACGCCCTTCTCCATCTCAAGAAAGACTGACTCAAAATATACCCTAAACTGACGCAAAACAAAGACAACCCATTCCCAAATGGGACTATAGCTACAGGCAAAAAAGTTAGGGCTCACAACACAGGTTGTTGGGATGCGCAATTCAACCTATACCACCAATATATGTCCTGGACATATATCCTATTCTAGAATGGGTACTTTTAAAGCAAAATGAAACAAAAAAATATCTATGGGACTACATACAGTCTCTTCTTAGCATCTCCTGAGGCAAGAAACAGACGTTTCTCCATTGGCCTATCAACACAGTGAATGATATGAATAGGTTCGTAAGGTTGACTAAGCCTTGTCTACTCTAGATAAGCCAATAGGGTGGCCTACTCTTCATTGGTTGTACCACTAAACCTATGTGCCAAGGGCTCAAGCACAAGAATAATTGTGCGGATGGCACGGGACCCGGCGGTATTTCTTCCTGTGGTACACAGGGCCTCTGTGAGTTGGAACCAACGCTACGACACCTGACAACAACATTTTACTGAGGCATACCCAAAATCATCTTAGAATTCGCTGTGTCTGGGTGCCATAGGCATCAGATTTAGGAAGTAAAGCCATGATGGCTTCTGAATTTGACAGGGTTCCTCTTCCATTATGCTCGGAAAAGTTTACATAGTACCAGAATAATCTGTTCCCCGGAGGTTTAAAAGAATTCATCTGTGAAACTCCAGATTTGGTGCTTTGGGGAAAACCGCTTATTTCCCTCCCTCAACTTTTCAATTTCTCTCACAGTTATTGGTCTGTGCCAGTGCTTTCCAGTTACCTTGGAGTCATTCATATCACCCAAATCCTTGCGCAGCACTCTTATTATTTATGATTCCTCTTGGCCTGTAGCCACCTCTCCCTTTTTCTTGTGTGATTTTATGTGTTTCTGCACTGTGATTTATTTGTCTTAAGCTAAAGAAGTGATGGATGTCTTGTTGCTCGTTTGCTTCTTCAAAGAGTTTACTCTAGAATGTGTGAACACTGCAGTGGTTCCCCATGCATGTTTCCTTGTGCACTTATTTGGTTTATGTCGTCATGGTAGCGTTTGGAGGGGTTTGCTTTTATCTTTGCTAACTTTTTAAGTTGGGTATTTTATTGCCATTCTTAATTAGCAGTGTGGATGTTTTAGGGTGTGGGTTTTCCTCTGGGCAACAGGACCCACAGGTCTCAGATTCTGAATTAAAGGACTTCAGAGAATTGTTCTTTTCCATCTAGACATTCGGCAGCTTTGATCCGGAATGCTTTAGGATCATGAAGTTGTAAAGGGAAAAAAAGGGGGAGATTAGCTTACCAAGTAATGGAGGATGCATGTATCTATTTGTGTTCTTATGTCCAGTTTCATTACTTTGTAACCACAGGATATACTAAGGCTATTGTTGCCACTTAGAATCCATCCACATGTTCTTCCAGCCTACTAAATGACGAAGGTTTATGGATGTTCAATATCTCTCCCGCTGTCCAGTCAAAGCCCATTCATAGAGACACTGCAGGACCAGGTAGAACTGCCCCTATGGGTTTCTGAGACTGCAGCTCTTTACATACGTAGAAAGCCTCCTCTTTCTCCCTTGGCGTGGCTGGTGGTTTCAAACTGCTAAACATCTCGTTTGCAGCCCAATGCGTTACCACTACGCCACCAAGGCTCCCACAGATGTTCAATAGGTGTGGGACACAGAAAGATTTCCCCCCAAGTTGTATGTGCCAAACCTAGCTGCTTGCTACACATGGCAAAAGACTATGCACTTGAAGGTCAACAAAAGCAGGTCAGAAGTTATTCTCCCTGAGGGTTATGATCCATCTAGAGCAATCAGACTGTATAGTCTGTTCCACCCTAACTAGGGCCCACTCCCTTCTGACAAGGAGAGTGATTGTTTCCCTGAAGGAGAGCCCAGGGAGGTCAAGCCCACTCAAGGGTGACCAAGGGTGTTAGGCTGACATCATGAATCTAGGGTCCGCCCATCTTGTCACATGTATACCCCTAGTCCTGCCTCTTCCTGTCATGCTTATGCCTATTGTACATCCCCTTCCTGTGATATATATGCCTACTGTACTGCCCCTTCCTGTGACGTGTGTGGTTACCTGTAATCACGCCCCCAACCCCACCCTAAGTATATATAGGCCATGGCCAACAATAAAGAGAGACTCCTCCTCCGCTGGCGGTGTGCGTGGACCTGGCTGTTGAGATCATGGCTGTCCAGGAGGTGAGCATGCTATCATGAAATGTGTCTGACTTTTCATTTTACCCTCTCTCCGATCTCCATTATTCTCTAAGACTTTACTATAATCTTTATAGATCGTAACTGTATAGTTGTGCTTACCGAACCCGTGATCAGTGTGAGGGGCTGACTCCCCCCACCCCCACCCCCCAGGCACTTTACAGAAAGATGTGCTCTGACTGGTTAGGTGGCTGCAGAGTCTGACTGGTTAGTTGCTGTCAGTCGATTATTTTCGGAGCTGTCATCTCACAGAAGAAGATGGCCAGGCCTGTGCTCCCATGAGCCCACTGGGTGCCCACTGGTTAGCTTAACCAACACGCACAAAGGGCTTGCACCACCTGTGGACCTTGAGCTGACAGGCCTACAGAATCAATACGAGGAATTACATTTCTTAGGGACTCTCTGGATTTCTACTTAAGTTCTGGCCAACTTGACATGGAGCTACTTGGGCTGCGAGAAATAAGGTATCTCCTGCTAGTTGCTTTCATGTGGGACGAAGACCCCGACTCCTATCTTCTTGGAGTCTTGTTATTGACCCACTGTCTTTGTCATCGGATCATAAGTTCCTTGAGGGTCACAGGAGTGTCTGGTCAACCATGACATGCCCTGGACTCCTGTAAGTCACAGCTCATTGAAGATCCTTGGTTTGAGAGAAGAGTCAAGACTTATGTTTTGTCTGTTCTGGCACCTCGAAGTGGGCCTTGCTTTCTCGTACGTCTTAGAACTGCTATAATGGAAAGGCCACACACATGGGTGGTTTTAAAGAACAGAAGTTGTTTTCTCACAGTTCACGAAGCCTCCCGAAGTCCCAATCGAAGGGATTAGCTGTAGGGGAAGAAGCAGTCTGGATTCTTGGCTTCAGCCTTGGCTTCTCTTGCCTCACATTAATGCTCCTTGGAGAGCTCCCTGGAGCATCCATCTCCATCCCACCCCCATTTGTGCCTTGCTTGTCTCCTTCTCTACCTAATCATCGATTTCATATCTCAAAAAAAAAATCAGGATTAGGCCACACCCTACACTGATAGGGAACATAACAGAGAAATCTCTATTCCCAAATTGTAACCACAGGATTCTAACACGTTTCATTTTGTTGTGCTTTATTAGAAGGAGCACAATTCCATGCGTTGCACTTACCCACAGGTCCTGTAACTGAACACAATGAAGCTTTCCTCCTCAGTCCTTTCAACGAAGGTCACGCAGGTGTGCTTCTCCCAGTGCCTCATGGCCTGCTTAAAAATGGCTCTCTGGTTTCCTGAAACGACAGGGCACCTGCTTATCTCTTCACTCATGGGTCCTTGGGTCCCATAGATACTTTAAGGTAGCTGGTTAAGACAAGGCCTGTCTTGATGATCAAGGAAAGGGGGGAAACCATAGTCTGCTGTCCCAGAAAAGAACTAGATTAGAAATAAGGGTGCCTGTTGCTGAGAACACAGTATGTTGTTGAATGCCGTTTGGTTGCTGTAGGCTCCTAGCCACCCTATCTGACCGAGTAGAACTAGTCTCTGGGGCTTCCTGGGCATCATAATTACAGAAGCAAGTCACCAGCTCCTTCCTCCTGCTGCCTGTAGGTCAGAACCACCGACCTGTCTGTTAGCAGCTGAGCGTTTAACCGAATAATCTTCCTGCCTTGCCAAAACCTAGAGACTTAGAAATGCATGGGTTGGGCAGCAGGGGAAATAGATATTTATAAAATATAGTGGGTTTCTAAAGTTTTCCTTTTTATTCAGAGTATTTTTTTTTCTCTCGAAGCATTTGAAAGTAAAAACCTTCTAATTAGGAAATTGTAAGTTTTTAAAGTATGGGGGCAGTAAATGTCCCAGCATTTCCTCCCACCCTTCATTTTATTTTATACCTTAGGAAGATGCTTGTGTGTGCTCTAAACTTCTATTTGCTACCCTGGCATGGGGTCTCTGTGCTTTCTAGGGAATCCTGGAGCCTTTGAAAACAAGTTCATTTCATACTTTCTTTGAACTTATCCCCATAGATCCTTGATTAGAAATCTGTTGAATGAAATATATTGTCTGGAAACAGAAATAAATAGTGGTAAACTTTAAGGTGGTGATTCAAAATCAGTAAGCATTCAATATGTTTAAAATCTATCTACCATCAAAAGATATAGCATCTGGGGTTGTAAAGGTTTGAAGTTAAACAAGTGGCCATCTAGCAGAGAAGCAACAAGCCCATATGGATGAAGCACACCAGCCTGTGCGATCTTGAGGTATCAATGGGATCAGGTAACAGGCATCCGAAGACCCAAAACTAACAAACAAACAAACATATTGTTGAGACTGAGGGGCGTCAGAGAGCAGGCACTCAAAACCCATCTGTAGACAATGGGGCATCCCTTCACAGAAGGGTCGTAAGGAAGGGATGAGACTACCAGGATGCAGTATAGCACCAATGAAACACACAATACTCCTCTGGCTGCTGGAGAATTCCTCACCTCACTATCATGACCCCAATCCTGCCTGTCACTGCAGGCTAGGCCAGAGCATGTACACAGGCACAATAAAACCTCAGGACTCACGGAATCCCGATCAGATCCACCCCTCAGGAAGAGAAATGGGAGTAGCGATACCAGGAAGGTAGGGGGAAGGTAGGGGAGAGGAAGGAAGAAGAAACCTTGGGGGAAGGAAGACAGCAGTCAGTGTAAGATATGAAAGTAATAATAATTGATAATGGGTCAAAGGGTCATGAGGGTAGGAGAGGGGGACAGAAGGTAAAAAGAGGAGCTGACACCAAGAGCTCAAATAGAAAGTAAATGTCTAGAAAATAATGATGGCAACACATGTACAAATATGCCTGATACAATTGATGTATGGATTGTTATAAGGGCCCCAAATAAAATATTCTTTAAAAATAATAAAAATAAAATAAAATCTACCTAACTGGCAGAAAGAACTCTATTTCAGTGTTTGGTAGTGACCATGAATATATATGTATATATATATAAACACCTCACTACCATTGAGTCCATATTGACTCATAGCGACCTCATATAGGGCAGGGTAGAACTGCCACTGAGTTACCGAAACAGAAACTGTTTATGGGAGTAGAAAGCCCCCTTTCTCCTGTGGAGTGGTGGATGGTTTCCAACTTCAGACCTTGTGCAACTCATGACCACTAGGCAACCAGGGCTCCTTAAGAGACCGTGTATCCTGTCGATGGGCCAGGCCCTGTTCTAGGTGTTGAAGGTACAGGAGTAAGAACGACACAGGAAAAACAAACCATTCACACAGAAACTAGACAAATAAAAAAGAGAGCAAATTTAAGAACTGGAATGCTTATCATAGTAATAGCAAGCACTAAGAAAAGATGTCTCAGTAGGCGTGCTAGTGGCACAGATGTGGGATACACTCGTGAGTTTATAAAAGTGTGGTGAGGCTATCTATGCACCTATTTGCATGTGCAGCAAATAACTGGTAAGTAGAAAAAAGTATTGCTATAAAATCATAGCAACTTTTATCAAGTAAAAGTATCAAAATGTGAAGCTATTATTTCTTGATATGTCCACCATCTAAGTCTATACACTTCTGAAGGCACAGTTTCCATCTCTCACCCTTCTCTGAAGACCTCTCTTGGATTGACACCAGGTCAAAATGGTAGTTTGGGCCTCCTTGAGGTACTCCTAGTGTGTTCCTTTTAAATGTTCTTTGAGTTTAGGGAACAAAAAGAAGTCTGAAGGGACGAGATCAGGGCTGTAGGGTAGACAGGATAAGGCTTCCCAACACAATTCTCATAGGACAGCCCTTGCTCACCCTAAAGAATGAGTAGGTGCATTGTGCAGATGGGGGGGGGGGCGGGCGGGAATCACCAGCACAACTTTCCTGCCCTTTTTCTCACCGACGCAGTTTTTAATTTTCTTAAAACTTCTTCGTAGGGAAGCCCCTGTGATCACCTTGTGGCCTTTGAGAAAATCTATCAAGATTACCCCTCGAGAATCCATGGCCAGAATCATCTGAGCTGACCCTCTGCCTTGGAGCTGACCCTCTGCCCAGCAGATCCCCGTGGGAGCCACTATTTTGATTAGGCCTTTTTTTTTTTAAGACAGCCTAACAAGATTAAGAGAACTATAGTAAGAGGACTTGGACTTGTCTGAAGCCATTCCCTGTTCACAGAGCTAGGTTTAAACACATTTTGCTTGGAATAAGCCCGTGCATGTATGAGCCGAGACCCTAGTAGCAATGCTTTTGTACTTACCCTTGTACAAGGAAAGCCATCTCAGGTGATGGTAGGCGCTAAAGAGATTATAAAAGGGGGTGCTGGGGTAGAACCTAGCGGGTGGGAGTAGAGAGGAGTCAAAGAAGGATGTTTGTGGACACATTACTGCGCTGAGGCTTGACTGATAAGAAACAGTCATCCAGGAAAAAATCCTGGGAAAAGAACCTTCTAGGCAGAGAGCAGGACAAATGATAGTATCTCAAGGAGGCAATGAGACGTGTCTGTATGGGAACAGGAAGAGGGCAGCCCGCAGTTCAAGAACAGGGGCTGAGGAGGAAAGAGGGCTCAGTGACCATGCAAGAGAGGAAGACGGGTTGCTTGGGACCATCGCCCAGATTGTTGGTTTCATTTGCATGGCAATGGGAAGTCACTCAATGATCTCTATATTTCAAAGATAGTAAAGCTATAGAAATGATACTCGTAGAAAGCAGTGACTAGCTATTAGTTTAGAATCCCTGTTGGTGCCATAGAGAAAGCTCTCAGCTGCTAGTCAAAAGGTCAAGTGGCCAGCTGCTTCCATTAAAATTTGCCGTTTGGAAGCCCTAAGGGGCAGTGCTATTCTGTCCTGGAGGGTCACCATGGGTTGGAGTTACCCCACAACAGTGGGTTAGGCACTGTTCTACAAACTTGATCGATATGAACTCCATTGTTACTACACCTTGTTGCTGTTAAGTGCCACCGAATCAAGTTTCACTCACAATGACCCCATGTAGCGGAACAGAGCAGCCCTTTAAGGTTTTCTAGCTGTGACCTCTGTGGGACGAGTTTGTCAGGTCTTTCTTCTGAAGTGTCACTGGGTGAGGATGAACCACCAGCTTTTGGTTAGCAGCGGACCACTTAACTATTGTTCCACCAGAGCTCCTGAAGAACACCGTCTTCATTTACAAATGAGAGAAATGAGGCTCAAGAGGGTAGGGAACTTGCACTTCAAGTCTTGACCTTGGACCCAGCAGTCCCACTGTGTCTACCAGGCCCCTAAGATTACTGTTTAGAGAGAGCACTGCTTGGGTGGGTGGTGGTAGGAGACCATTAGGTCCAGGGTGGTCATCTTGGCAGAGGAGAGTTATGCTCCTCCCCTCCTGTCACAGCCTATCCTTGAAGACCAGGGTCTTAGGTGAAACCCCGGGAATCAAGATGGTCACCTTGGAGGATGTAGCCCCAACAGAGACTGCAGTTTCGCTGAACCCGGTGGACCTGGCCCGGTAGGCACAACAAATTATTAGTCTGTAGAACTATTGCTGCCCAGAACACCTGCCCAATGCCCCCTTTGTCCCTTCCTAGGAGGACCCTCTCACACTATGGCGGCAAACCACCCTTCCATAAGGCAGGCCCCATCTGAGGCAACTGACCAGTGAAGTTCCCTCCAATGACGTAGGGGATGACACCTCCGGGCCAGATCCTCTCTGCCCTGGAGGTTGTGGCTCTTCGGACCCGGTGAGAGAAGGTCTCAGCTCCAGCATTCAAGGTCCCAGGGCTCGGTGGAAGCATGGCATGGTCCTTGTCATCTGCAAGAGAGTTATACATCCTTTACTTTGCCCTTGTGTTCCTCCTGTGCGGGAGGGTTCAGTCATATTACTCACAAGCTTCATTCAGAGTAACAGAACCAACCCCCAAACCAAACTCATGCCCATAGAGTTGACTGCAACTCATGGCAACCCTATAGGGCTTCTGAGACTGTGAATCTATTTTATGATTTCCTTCTATTTTCATTAAGCCTACTGTTGTTCTTTTTCTAATTTTTCCTCTTTATTGAGATGTAGTTAATACCTCATCTATTATACTGCTCAGGAGTTCTGGTGGTGTCGTGGGTTATGCGTTGAGCTGCTAACCAGGAGGTCAATGGTTTGAATCCACCTGTCTCTCTGTGGGAGAAAGATGAGGCTGTCTACTCCTGTAAAGATTTAACGGCTTGGGAACCCACAGGGAAGCTCTCTTCTGCCCTCTCAGGGTCCCTGTGAGTCAGAGTGGACTCGATGGCAGTGAGCTTGGCTTTATCCTAACATTCAGCCTGGATAAGGATACAATCCCGTGGCCTGCAGTGTCTTCACAAAGTCGTAAAGCCATCCTCACTGTGCAATTCCAGAGCATTTCTATCACCCCAAAAAGAAATGCCATACCTGTTAGCACAGCCCATCATACGTTCTTCTCCTGCACCCACAGGAAATTACTCAAAACAAACAAACAGAAAAACAACAGCAACAAAGCCAAGCTCACTGCATTCAAGTTAGTTCCAACTGATGGTGAGCCTATCAGACAGGGTACAACTGTCCCTGGGGGTTTCCGAGACTGTAACTCTTTACGGGAGTCGAAAGCTCATCTTTCTCATCTATGATATTTCTGTCTTTATGGATTTGCCTGGTTTTGGACATTTCATATAAATATAATGTAACAGGTGGCCTTGTGTGTCTACTCTCTTCTGCTTGGCATGTTTTCAAGGTTCACCTATGTTGCAGCAGGAGTTGGTACTCCGTTCCTTCATCTCTTCCTCTGGCTAAGTCATTTGGCTGGATGCTCGGGAGTCCAAACTCACCAGCTGTTCCTTGGGTGAAAGGCCGGACAATCTGTTCCCATAATGATTGCAGTGAAGGAAATCCATGGGCAGTTCTACTCTGTCACGTAGGATCACTGTGAGCAAAATTGATTCAAGGGCACGCAACAACAACAATATTCCATTATATGGGTATATTCCAGTTTGTTTATCCATTCACTTGAGGAGCATCTACCTTGTTCCCATTGTTACAAGAACATATTTATACACAAGTTTTTGTGTGGCCATATGTTAATAATTCTCTTGAGAATGATCCTAGGAGTGAACGGGTGATAGGGTAAGTTTGTGTTTAATTTTTGAGTAGTTGTGAAATTGTTTTCCAAAGTGGCTGCACCATTTTGTATTCCTCTCAGCAACGTATGAAGTTTCTGATTTCTCCACATCCTCACTAATGATAGTTCTCTGTTTTGCTTTTACATTCATCATAGCCATCCAGTGGGTGTCAGGTGATGCATCATGTGGTTCTGATTTGCATTTCCCAAACACCATGATAGGAGCCCTGGTGGTACAATGGGTAAGCACTTGGCTGTGGACCAGAGGTTGGTGGCTGGAATCCAGCCAGTGGCTCCGTGCGAGAAAGACCTCGCTCTCTGCTTCCGTAAAGACACAGCCGAGAAAACTCTACGGGACAGTTCTACTCTGTGAATCACTCAACAGCACCTAACGACCATCACGGTGCTGCTCAGCCTCTTCTCGTGAACTTACCGCCATCTCGATATCCTCAGTGGGAAGGTCTGTTGGTGCTTGCTGCTCATTTTATATCGGATTGTTTTTAGGTCTGGGGTTGGGATTTTTGTTTGATAGATGAGTTTTCAATATATGCTATATTCTAGTCCTTTGTTGGGCATGTGGTCTATAAATACTTTCTTCTAGCTTGTTTTGTCCTCCTCACATGGACTTTCAGAGTAAACACTCTTAATTTTGATGAGGTCCAATCTGTTATTTTTTCCCTTGATGGAATGTGTTTGGATGTTAAGTATAAGAAATCTTTGCCTAGTCCAGTGGTTCTCAACATTCCTCATGTCGAGACCCTTGAGTTCCTCATGTGGTGGTGACCCCCCAGACATAAAATTATTTTCGTTGCTACTTCAGCACTGTAATTTTGCTACTGTTATAAATTGGGCAACCCCTGTGAAAGAGTTGTTTGGCCCCCAAAGGGGTCACGACCCACAGGTTGAGAACCGCTGGCCTAGCGCTAGATTACAAATATTTCCTTTTATTATTTTTTTCTAAAATGGTATAACTTTACATGTAAGTTCATGGCCCATTATTAATGAATTTTTATATAAGGCATAAGATTCATGGCAACATTAATATTTCTGCCTGTGAATGCCCAGCTACTCTACATGCATTAATTGAAAAGTGTATCTTTCCTGTTTAGCTGTTTTGTAAAATCAGTTGCACATGTTTGCACGGGCCTATTTTCTGTGTTATGCAATCTGTCCACTGTTCTGTAATTTTGACCCTTTGCCAATTGCACGCTGTCTGGATTCTTATAACTGTCGTTTTTTGTCATTAACAAGTGTATTGGGTCAAATCCTACTGATCGCAATCCTCTGCTGTTCCAACGAGTAGCAGAGTAGAACTGCCCCATCGGGTTTCCAAGGTCATCCTTCAGGAAGCAGACGGCCGCATCGTTCTGCTGTGGGTTTGAACCAACAACCTTTCAGCTAGCAAAAGAGTGTTTAAACACCGCTGACAGGACTGCTTTTAAAGCTATAGCGTGAGCCTTAATGCCTGCCTGATATAGTGAATCTTTCCCCTTTATTCTTCTTTGAGAGAATGATTTTAGCTATTCCAGGCCTATGTCTTCCTATATAAAATGTAAATATACTTCTTTATGCTGGGATTTTGATAGGAATTTCATTAAACCTATAGAACAACTCAGAGAGAATTGATATATTTATTATATTGAGTCTTCCAATTCAAGAATGTACTGTCTCTCCACTTAAATTGTGTAATTTTCAGCATATGGATCCTATTTCCTTTCTGTACCTAAGCAATTTAGTTAGGGTTTTTTTTTTAGGGGATTGTAAATGGTATTATGTTTTAGATTAAACATTCATTTCTCATCGTAGTGTTTTGTAGCTGTCTTTGATTCAAGTATTTCCTCTTTTAGGTGAGTGTTGTCAACGGGGTCATTTCCCTGATTTCCTTTCAGAGCTCTTGCCCTTAAGGTAAAGGAATCCAACTGGCTTTTGCATGTGGTTATCTTGTACCTCGCCACTTTGCTTCATTTTTCAATTAGTTCCAATAACCACCTTGCTGTGTCTTTGGGATAGTCTATGTACAGGATCATATCATCTGCAAATAGAAAACGTTTAACTTTCAGTCAGATTAGATGCCTCCCATTACCCTTTCGTACCATCCAGCTCTGGTAAACCTTATACTGAACAGGCTTGGTGAAGGACACCCTTATCTAGTGCCTGTTTACATTCAACTTCTCCATTAAGAGTAATGTTGGCCATTGTTTGTATACGAAAACCAAAAAATTCACTGTCATGGAGTTGATGCAAACTCGGAGCCACTCCCTAAGACAGGGTAGAACTGCCCCCGTGAGTTTCCAAGACAGGTAACTCTTGACGGGAATCGAAAGCCCCTTCTTTATCGCGAGGAGTGGCTGGTCATTCAAACTGCTGACCTGAGGCAGTGCAGGGCTGTAGAGTGGTGAAGGGGTGTCAGGGCTCTCTGGGTGGATGCCCACGGTAGGTGGCCATGCTCCGGGCCACCAGGAGAGCATAGGAAACAAGGAAGAATCCACCTCGCTTGTCAAGGTGTGCACTGGTGCTGTCGGGCTGTGACCGCAATCAAGTGCTGCTTGCTGAATTCAAGGTGGCTGAGTTGCATTGGGGCAGCCAACCATTCACACATTCCCCTCTCCTCTCACCACCCGCTTCTTTCTTGATCGGGATTCATCGACTTTTCCACCCTTTACCTGAAGCTCAGGTGGCAGGAGTATCGTCTGCATTTGTTTCAGTAGGTCTCCTCTTGTCTTTGTTGTCGAGGGTCTATGGAGTGGGTCTGCTTAATTCCCCTTGATTTTCAAATAGTCTACTGGGAATGTTTATATCTCAGTGTAATTAGGGTTTGGGTATTTCTTATAAACATTCATTAGCTAAAATTTTTGCTATCCAACCTGAAAAATCTCTCTTTTAATGGGGAGATATATTTATTGTGATAAATAACAGGTAGATAACTGTATTGTGATAATGGCTATACCTGAATTTATTCCCTTTTTGTGCCTCCTATTTACCATTGTCCATTATTGTTGTTGTTAGTGCTGCTCACGCCCTTCCTGATTTCTATTGGATTAAGAGCTCTTTCTCTATGTCCTCTGTATTTTCATGGCCTTCTCTTCTTTAGCACTGTCTTTGTCGCATTGATTGCATTACAGAATTACCTCCCGATCTATTACCCTTGATGGAGTAGAAGGAGCTCTGGTGGGGGGCTGGTCACACCTTGGGCTGCTAACTGTAAGGTGGGCAGTTTGAAACCACCAGCCACTCTTCGGGGGAAAGACTAAGCTTTCTCCTCCAGTGTCAGAGGCTCCCACGGGCAGTTCTACCCTTTCCTGCAGGGTCACTGTGAGTCGCCATCTACTCGGTGGCAGTGAGGTTTCTGAGTCTCTAGTAGCCTGTTTTCTTGCTCATGGTCACTTTTTGCATTCTGGTTCCCTCTCCCCTAACAGCATGCCTGATGAGCTCTTTCATAATGGCAAGAAAGTCTTTTGTCTGTCTGTATGTTTGTTTTATCTTTCTAAATCATTTTATTGGGGGCTCCTACAACTCTTATCACAACCCATGCATATATCCATTGTGTCAAGCACATTTGTACATTTGTTGCCATCATCATTCTCAAAACATTTGCTTTCAACTTGAGCCCTTGGTATCAGCTCCTAATTTGTTTCCCTCCCTCCCCGCTGATAATTTATAAATCATTAGTTTTCCATGTTTTACA